AAATATGATTTCCCTACAGCTTTTCGTTCACACCTCTGAGCCGATCAGACTCATCCTGACCAAGAATGCTCTGCAAAGCCTAGGTATTCCCCACATTCCTGCGCTAAACTGGGGGCTTCCATCTCAGGACATGTAAGGCATTTCCTTTTGCTGATGTGAGCTCAAAGAAGGCATGTAAGAGACAACTCCACAGCTCGCTCAACAACAGGAAACCCAGAGGAAGCAGCTGTTTACATCTGTCCCAGCAAAAGAACCTCCTACCAGCACAGTAACACAAAACACAAACTAGTTATTTATTAGCCAAAGGTCTGCACAAACTCCCAACCAATATATTTCCCAACCATGCCCCAGTTTTTGCAATCAGATGAAAAGGCGCCCACATTAGAGGTGTACATCCAGTCATGCATGCATGAACTTAATTATGATTAAATCACTATCATACAGTCCCAGCATGAAATGCTGCAGCCACATGCTATGATGTGTGGGAAGCACTTTTTCTAATTGGGACAGCCATGTCAGATGGCAGCGCTCAAAACCTCTGTCAACAACTGCCCTGCTGACACGGCATCTGGACGGTACATGCTGCAGACACAAGGTCGCTTCAGATAATCATTTAAGGGGGTTAAAACGCAGCATGTCTTTATTTCAGCCTGTGTGGAAAGAAAAGGCGCTGCTGAGTCGGAGCTAAGCGCCATGTGTCTGTTTTGGTCGATAAAGCACTACACCCTGAAAGCATCTGTTTAATCTGGGAAGGCAACAAACCCGTCAGTTTTAGGCCTTTCACTGTCAAGGCGTCATGGAAATGAGTCCCAGAATATCTTTAGCAGCCAATACTTCTGTTCTTTGTAAGCTCTCCTCTTCGTTATATTCTCCTAAAGTCACGCCACAGAAATTCTGGACTTTGGACATTACATCACTTTGGGTCATTGCAACACGTCTGTTTATTCTCTTTTTAAGTGTTTCTACTATTGACTTGATGGGCTGTGTGGAATCTTTTTCCTGTAGTTAGGAGATACTTTGCACCAAACTTCATAACTAATTATTAATGAATAAATCATTCTAAGGTTTGGCCTATATGGCTTAAAAACCTAATCTCCATTTTTTCCCAACAAAATCCAATTCATCTTTTATTCCTCACTTAAAATTGTTTTTTTGTTTTTTTTATTATTATTATTTTCTGGCTCTCATGACCTTAATTTTTTTTAAAGCAGGCAGAAAGGAAATGTGAGCAGAGCGAGGGGGAAGACATGCAGGAAAGGTCACCAGTGCTGTGCTGCTTCCATCAACACCCTTGTTTATAGATGCTGGAGATCGGCCTGTTTTCCAGTGTAGTCCTGTTTCTCTGACCG